CAGCGGGCCACGTCTGCTTGCCGGTAGGCTGTTGGTGGCGCGGGAAACACCGTGCAGAGTGGCGGTAAGAGGGAGGCGGAGGGGGAAGCAAGTGAGTATGAATATGGTGTGTGTATGCAGTGTGTCTGTGTGTGTGTGTGCGTGAGTGTGTGTGTGTGTGAGTGTGTGCGTGAGTGTGTGCATGAGTGTGTGCATGAGTGTGTGCGTGAGTGTGTCTGTGTGTCTGTGTGTACTTGTGTGTATGTGTCTGTCTGTGTGTACTTGTGTGTATGTATCTGTCTGTGTGTCTGTACGGGGGTGTTTGTGAATCAACTCGTACATACGCGTTCACATACCTGCTTCAAGCGTTGTGCTCAGTCGCTTCTCGTCAAGTTGCACAGAGAGCCATTGCTGTTGAAATGGAATGGAAACAGCACAGACCAGGGACGAGGATGAGTGCAATGCCACAACACTTCATGCGAGCAGTGCAGATAATGCCACCAACGAAGCAGAAACACAAACATACACACACATACATACACACCTGCAAGGCGACGGCTGCGTGGAGCGGACGCTCCAAGATGGCTCGATCTTCAACGTCACACTGTGCGATGGCAATCATGATGGGAGCAGGAACAGGAAGTGATCAGCAAACACACGGCGTTTGAGTGGGACTGAAGAAGAACACAACAGAACAGAGCACACACACAAGCACACACACGCACGCACACATGCACGCACACGCACATACACACACGCTCTCACACACACGCACATACACACATACGCACGCACACACACACCACGCACACACACGCACATACACACACACGCCCTCACACACACGCACATACACACACACGCCCTCACAGATACGCACGCACACATACACACGCACACATACACACGCACATACACACACCTCCAACAGGAATCGGCGTGTGAGCTCGTATGCTGTCGTTGAAGAGCTGTGTGTGGATGGTGCGGTGATGCTGGTGCAGGTTGAATCTGCTTCCTCCCCAGTATCGCTCACGGTCGCTGTTGGTGAGGATACCAGCGGCGGCGTGCATGAAGGTGGCGATTCTGTTCCATCACCAGGGTCCGCATCGAGGCCGCTGTCAAGGACGGACCACAGCGGCTGCGGCTGCCCTCTTCTTCGCGTTGAATCGGATGACGCCAGCATCGGGCTGCGAAAGAGATTGGAAAGAGTTGTGTGTTGTGAGCTGGACGAAGGACGGAGGACGCATGCGCCACAGGAACACTGGCGCACATGTGCCTTCGATGGCAAAGAAGGAAAGGCGGGTCTTCACATCACAAGGCAGATTGCAATGGCAGGAAAGGCCAGCGTTCACGACGCACTCACACACACACACACACACACACACACACACACACACGCACGCACACGCACGCAACACACACACACACACACACACACACACACACACAGTGCCGCTCTGATGGTGCTGCTA